GAAAAACATTATTGACTGAATTGATGTTCCTTGTTTCCAAGCAGATACTTGGTGATTTTAGTATTAAATATTTTTTTTAATTCTTGTGCTCAAATGGTGATGATGATGTTGCCTCAATAAAGTGTAATTATTCATGGAAATATATATTTCTAGATTTCCTCTCAACTGAGCAATTTTCATGTGTCCAAGTTAATTAAAAAGGAACCCTGTTATACTAAATTTTAAAGATCCAAAATGATAGTTCATTCCTTGGAAATGTGAAATTTGTGACTGAATGTCAGCCATGATTTTAAGATATATCTTCATTTGTTTAGTAACTTTGCAAATCAGAAAAAGTGCATTTTTGCTGATCGTTGAAGGGTTTGTTATGGTGAAAGAGAACTGGTTTTTACGCAAACTTCATGAAAACAAAAAAACTCAGAGGAAGCCTTTTGTTAACTTTTTAAACTCTGAGAGTGATCAACATCTAGTTTCTCTTTACCATTATAATGCTGAATCTCTTATTAAGATCATGAGCACAAAGGAAATGATCTCCAATCTAAGCTTTCATTGTTAAACAAAGGAAATGTAAAGAGAGGAATATGGATACTTTAGTTAGGTTGATGCTATTGAATTACAAACTCTTCTTTTGACTGTCTTTTGTCTTGTTTTCTCCAAAATGGGTATGAACACATTTCTATGTAAGTAAGGAGTGAAATGAAGTGCTCAACAACTGTATTTTTTAATAAATATAGTGTATCAATATTTCAAGCTAAGTAAAGAATTAAATTTGCCAGTTTATTTATGTTTTGCACCAACATTACAAATTAAGTTTATTTGGTTAATCTGTCTGTTTTAGATCTTTTTTTAATACTAGAAACACCAACCGTATTGGCTGTTTTTTCATGGTCAGTGTTGAGCTAACAGCTTTCCTCCTTTACACAATGCTTTCCAATTTTTACCTGACATTTCAAAGAATGGCTGCAAAGGACTTGAACAAACAGCTTAAAACCAATCACCAAGCCTGACCTTTAAAACCAAGGCCCAGTTGCTCAAAGGATGGATAACTCACTCTCCAGTGGATAAGTGTCAACAAAATGTACCACACTATCCACTGGATAGAGATTTATCTGACAAGTAATAAGCATAATCCAGCCTTTGAACAAACAGTGCCAGGAATTCAGCAAGCCATTACCCTTGGGCCAATTTACGTTCCATAGAATTGTACAGGAGGTACTATGTTATTACAAAAATGTTGTCTAATATTCTCTGTATTAGCTTTGCATGTTCCTAGATATCAAGTAGGATGTCTAAAACTCTGATCTTATACTCTTTTAATTAAAAGCATAGTAATAAACCCTTCTACACCTTCTGGTGGCCATTTCTGGCTGAAAATATTCTGTTTACTACACTTCTTGTAAAATATACCTAGTGTATAAGCTAGAAAGCCAGTGAGAGACCACTGAGGTGGCAAACTTCTTGCCCTGCACAACCATCAAATGCCAAGCAATATTAAAAAGAACTGGTTTATAAGATCCTGAAGAAACCCACCCATAGTAACTTCATGCATACACAATACTTTAGGTATATTGGGCGTACTGTGCTAAAATATTGCACTCGTTAGGCAAATATAATATTGTTTGCTGAGCTGGAAATTATTAAATAAATGTGATCTCTGAGAGAAGATCACTGAGCTACTTGCATAACCAGTGATAATGCTGAGGACGTCTAAGTTACCAAATGAGGTCATAAGTTTGATACCCAAATGTTTCAGCTGGCCTCAGAGAGACTGTCCTTTTAGAGTTAATCACAGATGTGAAAGACTGGCTGTATACAGTTAAAATTTACTATGAAGAAATTTAGAAATGTTGCTTACAACCTTCACTGCAGGTTAGAGTTACAACCACCTAACAACTCTTTGACAGGACCTCTGAACTGAAGAGCATATTCCTTTAATTTTGCTTCTGACACAAATGGTTTAGAAAATGGTGAGGCCACCTAGCCCCATTTAGCCTAAATTAAAAGGTATACATGGTAATTTAGTACTATCAACTGAGTTGATAACATTAATTGGCCACCTTAAAGAGTAAAAAAGATGACATTTTGAGCATTGATCAGCTTTGTAACTCTTTACATTGGGCAATTTATGTTATCAACTGAATTGATAATGCTTAATTACCCTTCTATATTCTCCCACTGACACAGCACCACACTTTCTTTAGAAACTTACCCCCTTTAAAAGGTAAACATGTTTACATAAAGTCAAATTTCTAGGCATGAGGAGTGATAAAATTCATTCATTACATCTCTAAGTCACCTTACAGTACTTTTGTCTGCCATTTCTCCACACCAAAAGCTACCAGTTTACACATGCAAATAATTTAGCTGGGCAAAACAACCTATTCTTTCAGAATCGCCTCGCACTATTAATAATTGTATCATCTAAAAGATAGCTAACATAAATAGACTATCTCAATGTTGTTGATCTTCCTTCAGGAACTGGAACACAGATGAAAAGTCTAGCTTAGCATATCCTTTGTTGCACATTATCCTATAAATTTGATGTGCAAGTGAACCCATGGGTGTGGGACTGGTGGTAGCAGTTGCTGCACTTTGAGCAAGACCTAAGTCCTGTAACAAAAACAAAAACATTTAATGCTTTTTATTAACAATAACTAGCCATTTTCTGAATTCCAAATGCTCACACTGTACTTTGATAATAAGGTAAACTGAAAAAACCAATTTTTTTCCATCACTTGCCCTTGCTATAAAACAAAGGTTTGGGAAGTATTTCAATTTTTTTTTCTGGTGGTCAAAATCATGTTGACTCATTTGTGTTTGGAATTTTTTGAAGATTGGCACCAAACTGATTTGAAAAAATTTGATTTGAAAAAAAAAATGATTTCAAAATACCAAGGAAAAAAAGTTCTTATTTTCATTTATTTATTTATTCATTTATTTATCTATTCACCTTTTTTTGCAGGGGGGGGGGCAGGTGGGGGGAGTTGGGTGGAAGGAGGCTAAAGGATTTGACAATGCAGCATGTTGAAAGCAGCTACATCTGTTGGATCCAAGTACTAGATACCATTTCCCAAAATTTAAAAAAGAACATTAATCAATAGATTTAAGCAATAGCACTTCCATTTCCTGGCCCTTTAACCAGTGTCTTAAAGTCAAATTGTAATTTTGGCCTATTGGTTTTTTTGAAGGAAGAAGAAAACTCTTCAAGGAAGGACAAACCAAAAAAAACTCAACCTACATGTCAAAAAGGCCCCAGTTGTTGAAAGGGTGGACAACACTATCCAATGGATAAATCTCTATCTAGTACATAATGCTGTATGTTTTGTGAATGCTTAACCTCTGCAGGAAAGTATCATTCTTCCCTTCAAACAACTGGGCTCAGGACTGCTATGGTGGGAGGGGAGCACTCTTGCCATCTGGCCAAACCCTGCAGCCTACCTGTGACACAAAGGTACCCCCACCCTTCTTATCTAAGAACACAACTTCTTGCTAATCATATTTTTTTTATCTTGCACCAACTTACCTTGACCATAAGCTGTGATGCAAATCCTCCTTGATAGTTGTTACTGGAAGGGATACCTTCAATGATTCCAGGACAGGGATTGTAAGTGTCACTGGACCAACAACGACCACTGCTTGTGTTAATCACCTTGGCGATCATTTCTGGTTCTAGACCCAGCCGAATTCCTAGATTTGTGGCCTCTGAAACTCCTATCATGCTCACAGCTAGTAACAAATTGTTGCAAATCTTGGCTGCCTGTAAAGAGAAGGTTATGCCAAGTGTTAAATCGTAATTGTATCTGCTCCCAATCTGTGAATCCCTCACATCTTGCTACCCAAGAGGGCATGTTTACAGAAAACCATTCTTTTTCTTCAGAATTACCTGAACATTGTCTTTGCTAGTTGAGCTTTGAGATCATTTTGTTCATCTTCTCCATTTCAATGTGAAGTGCTGATGAACTGCTTGGAATTAGCAATGTATAAGTGTAATGTATACAGCTGTTTGCAGAAAGGTTGTCAGAAAAAGCGCTACAACTCCCAAAAGCAGTGTGAATAGTTTTAAGGTATTCAAGGAAATCTGAAAAAATGTCAGTTTAAGGAAGACACATAGGGGGTTTGATAAATTTATTTTGTTTGCAAGACTGACTTTTAACTCTAAACCTGATGAAAAATGAAAAAAGAACGGACCAATCTCAATGAACAACAGAAACAATACAAAACTCAACGAGAACAAATTCTGAGTGACCTGAGCAAAAAATATTTTAAAAAACAATATTCTATTGTTTTGTTCCTCTCATATTCACATGCATGTTGGCATTTGTCAAAATTTATCAGTTTCAATTAAAATTCATTGATCACTGGATACTCAGATTACCTTTAGAGATTGTCACATGCACTTTTTCATTTTTCCGACAACCTTTCTGCAAACAGCCGTAAATGTTAATTCTCATTTATCACTGTTATTCTTGCCATAACCATCATTGTTATTATTAAGAGTAAGAGATTTAACCCTTTCACTTCAGGATCTCTTACTGAATGCCATACAATTCTTACGATGTCAGTTTGGAGAATTTGGTGTTGGATTAAGTAATAATCACCTAATTGATATTTTTCTTAACTCTCATCACTTGTCTGCTTGACATTGTATTGACACTGTAAAGAGAAAATTTCTCTTGGTCACTTATGGGAGTGAAAGGGTTAAGTACATGCATTCTACTCAAACTACCTGTCCTGTGCCAATAGCTCCAGTGTGAATTACATTCTTTCCCATGTGTTGTAATATTTTTGTAGCTCTTTCATAAGCTTCATCTTCACCACCAACCATAAATGTTAAAGTTCCTCCTTTAGCTGCGGTTACCCCTGAAATCAATTTGCAGACAAATATTTGGTAAAATTGAGAGTTTGATCAACATTATATACTCCACCTAATAACCTCTTTCTCTCATCACTGGTTCAAAAAGTTAAAAAGGGATAAATCCAGTATTCTCCCTAAAATGGTTTGTGAAAGTGATAGGGCTCACCTTCAAATTTTTCGCACTACATTTTTTGTTTTTTCTCACCATTGCTGGATTAACAACTCAAAAAAAGGTACACTGTTTGTAGCCAAAGGCTAACTTTAAATTGTCAATTAGCTCTGTAACCTTTTATCTCCCATGAGTGACCAAGACTGAGTATTCCTTCAATATCAAGCGGTCAAGTGATGAGAATAAATAAATATATCAATCTGGGGATAATTAATTGATCCAATACTAAATTATCTAGCGAACATCTTATAAATTGTATGGCAGAAAGTAAAGAGAATTACCAATGAGATCTTTGGAGTCAAAGGGTTAACTTATCACTTTTTTCTAATCAAAGGCTGCCAACTTCCTATGGTTCCTGTACTTCCCCTATATGGTGATGGCAATTTCCTGTGACATGTTGCGTGACATGCCCTAATTCATCAAACCCGTATTTAGAGATTCCCAGATGTTGGAAAAGCATGTTCATCCCGCCATGAAAGATGGCTTGTCATTTACCACAAGATCTCTTCTTTTTTGTCTGTTAAGTGCTCTCTGGCATATTGATACACTTCCCACAGAAACTGTGTATAATTTTGTATCTTTTGAGCTGTCTTCCTTTGAAAATTCACACCACAGATGTGATGTGTCTGTCATGTGAACCCTTCAACCCCTAAGATTTACTAGCATAAATTTATCCTCACAATATTACCCCTGAATCAAACATGAAGGTTATGAAAACAGAGGAAATGATCACCACAGAGAGCAGTAAGGAGAACGTGCATACTGATGTTCAGATGTTGAGGGTTACATGACACCTCACCTCCAGATACTGGTGCATCCAGAAACGTGGCTCCTTTGCCCTGTACAATTTCACCCATCTCCTTGGCAACAGCTGGTTCTATTGTGCTTGTGTCAATCAACAATGATCCAGGCTTCACAGAACTACAAAAATTATATGTTTTATTTGTAACAGTAACAGACATTTCAAAATTCAGTCTTTCAATGAAGCAATTCCCAAATATACCCAAGCAGACCCCAGAAGGGTCTCTGAGGTTCCTAAGGGGGTGGGGGTTGCAAAACAAAAAAGTCTTGAAGGAATTTATGTTTCAATAAATAACTTTCCAGGGGGCTGGGGAAGGTGGCTAAAGGCAAAAACACCTGTAGGCCTCTTTCATAATGGTGACAAACTTGCTTTTCCTTCCTGTGCATTCAAATCAGCTTTCTTGTGTTTTTAAGACAAATTGAGTTTGCCATTGTTACTCTTTGTTGATGAGGCTAAAAGAGATAATTTATATCAAATATAAAAGAATAAAGATGATTCCCTCCATCACAAAAAAGAGTGCAGGGAATAGAAGGAAGAAGTATTCTTCAAAGTAATACAAAGCTAGAAATAACAGGGCTATTTTCTTTTACCTCAGGATACCACTCTCACCACAATAAACTTCTTTCACATTTGGACTGCAATCAGAAACAAACTGTTAATGAATTGAATTTCAATGGAGTGGTAGCTGGTCCTTAAAGTTATTGTCGACAGGTGTGATAAGTCCCAACAAAGATTGTTACCAGGGGCAGTTACTGACATTTTAACAACCTGAGCAGATATTATTATGATTAGGGTCATCAACTGTATCCCATGCACAATCTCATTGGATAAATCATTCCATATAGCCCATGGCCATCAAAAAGTTATCAGCAAATTACTCTACTCATATGATTTAGACGTTTTTCTAGCTTGAGTTTAGTGACTGGAGCATTACTGTGACATTGTAGGAAGGAAACACCAAGGCATATTTTAACCCTTTACTTCCTAACATCAGTATGCATATTCTCCATACTGTTCTCTATACATTTCCTAAGTTGCTGATAAGGAGAACTTGTTGAACAATCAAGAGCTTCTTTGGTTGGTGATCATTTCCTTTATTCTCATGACCTAAATGTGTGACTCAGGGGTGATATTGTGGGGAGAAATAGGATGTAAGTCACTCTTAGGGGTTAAAGGGTTAAAGTTATAAGAGCGATAAAAAAAACCTGATTGAATACATACATTAGAGCTAACTACTGAAACATCTTGACGTTTCGGGTTTAATTTTTTGAAGAGATATATGATTCATATAAGTTAACAGACAGTTACAGACAATGCCCTTGGCTAAAAGTTTGTCCTTAGAATTTTTCAGTCCCTCTTTTCAACTGTTGATATTTTGGGCGATATTGCAGTTGGACATCATTCTCCGATGCATAAGCTGCTGAAAAACATCTTTTTTAATAAACTTTAGGTTACTAGAAAGTGTGTCTGCTGGCGGTGAGAAAGGTATCAAGTACCTAAATTACCTGGAAGGTAACATGGTGACTATTGTGGTTGCCTTGGAAGCCACTTCACTGGGCGTGGTGGCTGTAGCAGCTCCCAGTTGTTTCAGATCTACAACAGCCTCTGAGAATATGTCATGGACTAAAATCTCATGTCCTGCATTCAACAAATTCTTCGCCATGGGACCTCCCATGTTTCCCAAGCCTATAAACCCAATGGGCTCTCCCTGAGAGAAATAGGAGATAATGAAAAGAAAAATTATTTGAAGAGAAATACAACTCTCAGATGAAGAAAAAAAACGTCTTGGTTGCACATATCCTGCACCATGTCTACAAAAGTGTCAAAGGAAACTAACATTTTAATAATTATTAAACAAGTTTTCACCACTTATTTCAGTGAATTAAGTAATAGTTCAGAAAAAACGCAAACCCGCAACACAACTTTCCTCTTGTTCGTCCGTTACGCGGCGCCTCCCCCTAAAACACCCCTATGGAAACAGTCAAATGCCTGACTGTCCATGCCATACAGCAGGTTAGATAAAGACGACTGTATTAGCCATCCAACTTTAACTTTTGAGATTTAAGCCTGTGTGCTCGCTCGTAATTACCGAAAAAGTTTCATCCGTGACTATTATTTTATTTATTGACCATTCAACCAACATAAGTTATATCTAATGTTATTAATAAAATCAAGAATCGTCGCGAGTCAAAAGAGCTGATCAATTTTAAAATAAAGCCTTAAAAAGTGGAAAAAATAAAACAATAATATTAAATCACAAAAATTAACAGTTTAATTTTACTGGTTTCCACGGTGTGTTCCACGTGGAATGAATACAAACAATTCTGGATCGAACGTGAAGCTTACCTGAGTGGAACTGCCACCTGAAAATAAGAAAAGGAACGGACTCGGTAAGATATTCAGGAATCATGGATCAAAATATAAACAGTCCTTAATCAATTCTGGATTACGACCTTACTTGAAAACAAGCGGCAGATCAGAGCTCTATTAGCCAGCGATCGGATAACGATATTTCCCTTACAAACTGTTGCCATTTTGTATTCTCGCTCCAGTCCCGCGAAATTTTAGTTTGCGCAATATTGCGCGCGCTTACTATATGATAACAACCGCTGTTCAACAAGAGACGAAAATATGGCTGTCTTCACGAGAGTTGCCGATTTTCTTCAAAAATCAATCGCCTTTACTTGTGCAGTGGGATGTATTTACATCTTAGCTATATCTGGAAGGAACTATTTAATAATACGTAAGAGGAGACTCGCGAATGCGGCCGCAATTGAAGCCGAAAAAACAACTGATGTACCTTCATCGTCGTAGACGGAATGCTTCTACATTCAATCTTATAGGTATGCAAGAGAGCAACAATCCTCTCTTCTACTTAAGTGTTTGAGGAGATGTGTATGATTTATCCGCAACTTATTTCAATCGATTCACCAGAGTTTCCTTCGAGATGAAATGTTGTATAGTCTTATATTACCAACCTTTATAACTACATGTTGCAATTGCATAATCAATCATAATTTGAGCGTCTGCGCACTTTTCGGCACGGTACTGTATTCGACATTATATGTTAAGCTGAATTGTAAATGCATTTTGATTGGTTCTAACTTATGTTCTATAGGAGGAAATACGCATAGATGAAATCACTGTTCGCAACATTTTGATTTTTTTATCACATATAAAAAAAAATGGATTCTATGTTGTTGTGCACTTGTTCACTTCTTTGTTCTTACCACATTTTGACATCATCCGTGATCTAAAACTGATTATAACATAGCTAGTAAATTTGTCGAATCAAATTCAATTGTGCGAGCGTGCTTCATATTCCTATTGTGCACGCTCATGACATCAGCAAACATATCCATCGAGATATCGATCCATATCCTCAAGAAGCTAGCTACGCCTCGAGCAACTCTTGCACATCTTTCATGCTCTCCAAACTTCCCGCGTGCTTCATATCTCGATGAATGCATGCTGACGTATGAACCAATTGTTAATTATATAATAAGCTCAGTTATACAGGCATTCTGATTGGTTCTCACTCATGATCTATTGGAGGACTGACATATAGATGATGTCATCATTAAAACTTTTTTTAATTCTTTATTATATAAAACAAATAGATTCCAAGTTGCTGTGCGTCTGTTTAGTAATAGATCACAGAGGACGTCAACATGTGGTAAGAACATCAGTGACACACTTGGCTGTGCCACTTTTTTGTTCTTACCATATTTTGACATCATCTGTGATCAATTACTGAACAGACACATGGCAACTTGGAATCTATTTGTTAAACAGAAGAACAGCAACATGGAATCTATTTATTTATTTTACAATACCCTAACCTGGGTGGGAAAAACATCCCATGCAGGGTAATGCAGCACAATTTTTTTGATGAAGTGAAAAGTTTTTATTGTCACAGAAATTTTGTAATATAGCACAAATTTTATGATGTAATACAATTTTTTTTACAATTTACTTTGTTCTAGGGATCAAGCCTAACAATTTGTAGAAAAAAACTTGTTGGTGGTGAGGAATGGAGCTGGTGGAGCTGTGGATGAAAGTAAAATTCTCAGACAAAGGTTACTTTTCTGACGCAGAAAGAAAATATTGTTCTTTTGATGCCTACTCTGCCAAGGAACATGCTAAATATTTGTGCATTCTTGGTGAACTTGAAATTGCTGTCAAAAGTGACGTACATTTTTCTCTATTGATATTCAGGATTTGGTAGTTCACCCGCAGAATGACCTATTGTTCACAATCTGTTTTCACCTTGTTGAGGGTTGCACTGAAAAGAACTGTTTTTCAGTGAACCAAGGTGACGCCGCAAAACTGTCTGAAAAGTGTAACCCTTGTTTTATTTCATTGTGAACAATAGTGTGAGTACATATGTTACTAAAAAGAGCATTTCATTGGTTTTTGTTTAAAAATTTCCGGAAACATGTTCATAGATGTACCAAGAATTACCTTTTTTTACACATGGGTTACCTAGCCATCAGAAATTGAGAATTTTGTAATGTATATAGTTGAACTGGTAATAAAGGACATTACATGAACTTTAAATTACAAATTATCTTTATTCAGCTTAATGTTTCTCTTTACTATTCATGCAAATTGACATTGTTGTTAAGCTTAATGTCAACAGGATTGTTCCTTTAAGAGACTTCCTTAAAAGAGACTCTTACTGACAAATCAAGAATCGCTAGTTTTATCAGCAAAAATGACATAGAGCCTTATAATTTACAAAAGAAAAGTTTTGGACATCCAAGATTTTGCAGATTAGTCGAGATGATGGGGCCTTCGGTTCTCCGCTATCATCTAAAACTTCTGCATCACTGATGATCGTTTCATTAGTTGCATGAAGGAAAAATGTAACTCAAAGATGTGTTATTTAACAAATGCAGTACTTTTTTCCTCCAAGAAAATTTCCCTAATATTAGGGTTGTAAAAGACGATTTCTTGGAGAGGTTTGATCTCCGAAAAATATTAATATCGACTCGAAAGGATGCTCGTGCAGAAGTACTTCACTCACAGACGTTTTTTTGTAACAAGTCCACAGAGTTAGCACATTGTTGAATCTTAATGCAACTATAATCGTACCACCTACTCATAGATTAAAACAAACTTAGAAATTGAAACGTATAAGCAATGTTTTTGATAAGATATTTCTTAAAACTTACGTTTTCCCTTCACTTTGTGTTCTTGGCCGTAAGTATGTTTTGGGCGCGACTCAGAGTCAGTTTCGCCCAGGCCGCCTAGCGATGACTCTGAGAAGGGCGCAAAACATATATACCCAAGAACATTAACAATTTTTCTATTATTATCACTTTGGTGCACATTGAGAAGATGAAAACTGAAAAATGGACAACAGAACAGTCCGAACAATCACGCTAAAATCCGGCCGATTTCTCCTTTTAGCTTGCAAAATGAGCCACAATGCCTGACAACGTAATGACAGTAATTATTTTAAAGCACTAGAGAGCTAGGTACATGATTTTTTAACAACATACCTTCTGTTCCTGTTTGGGCTCCTGGATGAAGAGTAATAAAAAGAAAAAGAAACGGTGTTTGAAAAAAACTTTAAAAGTACAAATCAAGGTTTGCTACAAGGAATATCTTAAACCTGTTAAATCGATGAAGGTCCTTAGCAGTAGAAATGCAATAAGCCAGATCTTTGACGCTATGTCTCTGGAGAGGAGACGAACTGTGAATCTAATGAAAAAATTGTGTGCAAACCCTTTATTTATTTGGTTTCCCGACCTGAAAACTGAAAACAGATACCGGCTATTGCAATAGTATTGTTTGAGTATTTAGCAGATCATATCAACAAAAAAATGTAACTGGCAATACTAGCAAAACCCGTGGTTTGATCTGGGGATTACCCAAGAGAGCCGAGGGGAGGGTAAGGTCGTTTGAAGAGTATCAGAAGAATACAGTCAAACTGGCATTAAGCGGCACCATATTAAGCGGTCACCCTGTTTAAAGTGGTCAATCACCAAAGTCCCAAATTCGTTTTCCCTCATTCACTGTAATTTTCACCTCGATTATGCGGTCACCTCTATTAAGTAGTCGCTCCGTGGATGACCAGGTTGTATAGATTCGACTGTAATAAAAAGACTGCATTCTCTTCCCCCGGTTAAGGAAAATGCGTAAAACAGGAAATGGCTACAAATGGGGATACGACGGGGATTTATAATTTTTCAAAACCCTCACCAAGGGTTACAATAAGCGGCAAAAGTCTTTGCACGCCATGTTACTTTTTGAAATTTGTTTTCTATAACTTGCATTTTTCTCCTCCTCTCCCCCGTTTCAATGTTGCCTAGTGCCAACAAAATGCTCTTTAATTTCAGGCAACTTTGTTTGAGGGATAGGGGGAATTTGAAAAAAAACTTTTGGAGATGAATTACAAGATTTCTGTTTATTATGTCAGGTGGAGTATTATCGACCATCTACAGTGAGGAGGGGTGCCTACTAACTTTGCCACTAATTGAGTGATATCGGTTGAAGGATAGTCCTTAATCACCTCCTGAATAAGAGAAGAAAGAATCACACGGCAGCCCTTGAAAAATATAGTTTCACTAAGCAAAGGTTTTGATTGAACAGTTGGCTTGGCAACCGCAGAATACATCTCTGGAGTGTATCGAACATACCGAGGCCAGTTAGACTCAAGGAATTTATCTTGCCCATAATTCTATTTCTATGATGACGTCAGTTGGACTTGAGCAAAATTACAGTTTAAAGTAAGGTTCGGCAAAGCAATCTTCAAGGGTAAAATAAAGTTTGGTGTCTTCTTAGAAATTCTTTGAACACAGATGCGCAGAGATTGCTATCACCACATTTCACCTTTGTGTGCTGAAAGTAAATATCAGTGCTCCACAATGAAATATTTTGTGCGCTGAAATTAAATAAAATATTATGTGTACTGAAATCAAATATCAGTGTACTGAAATTTAATATCAGCACACAGAAATTAAGTAGTTGCGAACTGAAATATCAACTTTTGGACCAATAGGCTAACTAACTTCT